GGGTTTGGGGTGTAGGGTTGTAACATTGGTATATGTATGCTTTTGAATTCACATCTGTGAGGGCTTTGGGTGCAGAATGTGTAGAAGATACAGGAAAATCTAAGGGGCGGGGGGGTGGGGGGGGGGGGCGACAACGGCTGGCGCGGCACCCTAATTCCTAAGCGCCATAGACCCCGAATTTGGAACCCAAAGCCAACAAAATGGGTCAATGTAGGTATATGGCACATTTAATATATACCTAGGGCCCAGAGGCGTTTCTACATAGCTAGTAGGGGCACATGGTTTTGCGCAATTCGGCTCATGCCTTTTAAGGATTGCAATTGTGTTGCACCCCGCACACCTCACAGTCCTAAACCGTAAAGTTTGTGTTAGGCCCTCACACTGTACTAGTAGTATTGTAATACTATGAACATGGCTACACGGGCGTGTATACAGCTACACTTCTCTTGTCTGGGGACAATCAGCTTGTGGGTTTAAACTTGCCAAAACCCCTCACAATGAGGTTGGAGAAATGCTTGATGGTCCAAGCCCATAGCAGCTTGGATACCGCTGGTGATTCCTTTCAGGCATTGCGCGGGCGTAGGGTTTGGAGTTGTGGGGCTCAGGTTTCTGCCCCAAACTAACATGAAATTCTCAATGACGCCCATCAAGGCTGTCCTTTTTAGCAGAGGGGGGGTGAGGGGGGGGGGGGGGGNNTCCATGTTAGTTCAAGGGGACTAAGATTGTTGAAGGGGGTGCGTGTAGTATTGGGAGGGCGAACTCTTGAGAATGCTTCTCGATACTATGGCTAGTAGTATGCGTATCGCTAGGACTAGTAGGAATGATATTGCTCTTCCTAATGCTACTAGTTACCACTGCTATGCCACTGCTATGACTTCATTATCACTCCACTTGTTGCTATCACTGTCAGCCATACCATTACTATTGCTCTTCCAACGTCCAAGACACTCATAACTTTGGCGACTACCATCTGCAGTTCCTCTGATGTCAGACAGCGACATGAAATTATATTTGGGGGGTCTCAATATCACTCAGGCTAAATTTATTCCTTAAGCCTACTACCCGTAGCTCCCCGTAACATGTAGGGTATACTTTAGGAGGACCTCCCACCCTGTAATAGTGACATATTATTAGGAATAGAAGAAGACCTTAATATGCCTTCTAGTATCCTTTATAGTCAGTATTACAGGCGGGGGGGTCCAGCTAAGGAATATACTCCTTAATTGAGGTGCACTGAACTCTCTGGACACCATACGTCAGGGTTGCCCCTGCCAGGGTATTTTGAGCAGAAGAGAGCCTAACTGGCTCCCAGGGCTTTAGGGTTTTGTGTATCTGGGAGTATTCCTTCTCTGGCTTCAGTAACTTCAGTAAGAACCATGCCCAATTTTGAGCCGGATAAGGCCGGAATCCTCAACCCTGGTTTTAGGTGTCACTGTGCGCAGAACCAAGTCCGTGCCATAGCCCAATCTCAGCGGTGGATAAATGGGAGTTTGCATAAACAGGCGGTGCCCATTCTCGCTACCCCTAACATCCTACCAATTCTTTTTTCCATGTATAGGGACCCTAGGCGCGGACACCCATTTTTGGAACTCCAGAACGCGTCATGTTGTTGGCTACTTGAAGGTTCACGATAGTCGGAAGTGGCATTAGGGTTGAAGTTGTTATGTGGATACCGGACCTGAATTATATGGTGGTGTTCACCTTCTTCTCCACTCCCTATATTCCACATATAGCTCCTATGGTAGTAGTTCTTATGTTCTGTTCCATTACCTCTTTTCCCCAACTTTTCCCTTAGCCCTAAGCCCCTTTTCCTTCCCTTACAAGTAGACTCTTATCCCGAACCGCGCACATTTGCAGAGGTAGCAACCTCTGGTTTTTCCCCAGTGGCAAGCTGGAGGAGAATGAGACCGAGGCGGCAACTCCAGGAGTTTGGCAGCTTTGTTGGCCGATAGTTCCCCGAAAGCTCAAGACCCCTTTGTTGAGGAATGTTAGGGGTGATATAGGGTTTTGGGGGAGATCTACAGGGTCTAGGGTGTAGGATAATATGCTAATACCCCCAAATTAAGGAAGATATCTCAAACGTATTGGGGGTTCTGGCATGGTTTAGGGGATATGTGCTCAACAAGGTGTAGTGGACGCTCTGGTTACCTCTGAGTTGAGTCGCATTTGTCAAATGAGAGAGCCTTGAACTTTCTCGGCATTCTCTGTTCTTTATCTGATCTGTCTGATCGAGAAGCAGATTCAGATTCACAACAGTAAGCTGCAAATTCACCATAGAAGATGTGGCCATACTTGTCCACGACTTTCAAGAAGGACATATGCTTGAGATGCCACGTGAAATTTGAGAAAATCAAGAGGCACGTCGAACACTCAACCCTAAAACTCGGTAGGATTTAGAGGAATATACCCCCGTCCTCTTTCGGGCGCCAAAGAGTATGGTTGGGACATATAAGGATTCAGGGTTTAGAGTCTGTGCTTGGAATGATATCCCCCAGAAATCATGTGTCCAACGTGCTAGGGCGCGATGAACTCCTGGCTCGTATCTGCTAGCATGCTAGGACTCCAGATATTGATTCGCTTGGCAACGTAGGCATCGAACAAGCCAGGTTCAAACCACTATCGCTAAAGTTCAGGGCTGAGGCCGCTAGATGGGAACGTGGTTTAGGGTCGAGGCCATGTACCGCACGATACTGGAACCACTGACAACCATCCGGCTGGCACTGACGAATTGACATGCTGAGCCCCACCTGCAAGAGTCTTACCCTGGGGCTTGAATAGCTTCAAAGTAGGTACCATTAGAGGCGTTAGGCCGCAATGCAGGTATTGATTATGGACTTAGAGATTCAGGGCTCTTCTATGTCCAGTGCTTGCACTTTGCGATTTATTCTTGCTGCTGCACGCACAGAGGGTTTAGGCTGTAGGATTTCCCAGGTATATCAAGTAAGGGCAGTCGCTTCAAAGAGTCAGAACAGCATTTCGCAAATAGGTCCGCCTTGTCAAACACAAGACTAAACAGGGTTGTCTACATACACATTCATTCTATTTCGTCAGCAGCTACGTTTTCATGTCACCTGCAAGTCTAGCTGAGCTAAACTCAAAATATCGAAAACAAAAAACAATGACCCGCTCCGTTTGTGGAGATCAAGAAGCCTTAGGAACTTACCCGAAAATTCAAGTTGTCAAGAGCAGGTAAACGAATAGCACAACATCCCTAAAATGGTCAAACGGCCATTAGTCATGACATTTTGGGTGTAGACTGTGAGGCGAGCAACAACTTGAAGGGAAGTGTTAGGCTTTCAAGAATCTTACGATTTAGGGCTTCGGGTCCCAGGGTGGGGTCTTCCCCTATGGGTATGACTCCAAGGGTCCGACTACCTAATCCATAGTGCGGAGTTGGGCTCCCATACACGGGAATGCACAATCATCCCAGTTCCTCCCCAGAACGGCTTGCTGCAGGCTAAAATAACGATAGTATACTAGACTATACTTGAGTACTATGTTATACTATGTTATAGTATATACCATGCAAAGGTGCCTGGACGATAGTGTACTATACTAGAATACTATATTCTAGTATAGCATATTACGTTAAAGTATGTACCATGCAAAGGTGCCTGGTACTTGCTTGACTCCCCGATCTTGACACTGATTTTAGCAATTTCATCCTGAGGGGCCCCTGTAGGCATATGAATCTACCTATGGCCCCATGGGGTTTCCATAGTGATAGGACTACTTTGGGTAAAGTATGCATGGACAAAACCTTTGGGAATTCGTTCTGGGAATATCTGCCTGACTCTTGAGGGAAGGGATCCGCGCCGTCCCCGCGGACCCCTAAACTCTGCGGCATAGCTTTTTGCAGGTGCAGGGAGCCATCCGCGAGGTTTGGGAGGAGTGCGGCATTATTAGGGCCCAGTGTTTAAGGGTGTATGGAAGGGTTTTGAGGTTGAGGTTCTACAGAAGTTGCACAGGGTTTCGTAGAAAATCTCGAATATGGTGTGGATACAATGCTTCGGGGCATTATGCTTGCAATCTTGAGCATCTTCGGACTCATGATGCAGAACAGAAACCCATGAGCCAGAGTAGCAGCAAAGGGGCGTGGATTTATCACGGTAGCTTACGCGCCGTCACGTTAAGAACAACTGGATAGCTATCATCGTTCGCTGTTTTTCTCTGTGAAAATTCATGTCGGGATGCGGCACTTGAACTGCGCCCTTCAAGGCGGACTGATTTCGATCTGATCCAATCTCTAGCTTTGTTACATTTTACAAGCACATAATCAGGGGGGTTGCATTCTAGTTGGAGTGACTGCGGGCTGCGCCCGCTTTTCAAACAATCCCTGTTCCTGTCCAGATCCTGCTGTGTAATTCTTACTTGAGGTGCGGATTCATACCCAGGATTTCAGTGCCTGAGTGGCCTTCAACGTATTTCTTCATAGGCTCTGTGTACCTTAGTGTAACCCACCTGAAGTGTTCATTCTAAATGCTAAGTGTGCGCGGCTACCTCGTCCCACTGCATCACTCGGGCAAATAGTTTCTCAAAAAAGGATGGGGCCACTTTTCAGAGGCGTTCGTGCTGAATCCGTATTTGGTTGTTCAACATGATGTGTTCTGTTGCCAAGGCCTTCATGCTAAAGTCGTACTTTGAGTTTATGACCATGCCGAATCGGTACTTAGGGTGCGCAAGGGCACGTTCTTTGTGAGCACTTCGCGCTTTCCAAGCCGAGCTGAATAACGTTCCAACCCAACTGGGGATCCACAGACGGTCCTTAAACCTCAAACCCCCCCAATGCAACTTATTGCTGAAAATAGGAGATCGGTTTGGACATCACTCATCGCGTGGATGAGAGGCATCTACCGGTACCAGTTCTGCGAACAACGAAGGAGAGTTTTTCAGAACAGTTCCCTTTCCATAGGCTAGGAGCACAAAGATTACATGGAAGGAGATTATGGGAGATCCTATGAGTATCAGTATTTGGAGGAAAGATGTTTTTTTGTTAGCAACCCTCTTTGGAAGGAGATTATATGGGAGATCCTATGAGTATACCATAAACCCTAAACCCTATCAGTATTTGGAACGTATCCCTTCTTTGCTAAGGCTTGCAGGAACGTAGAAGGTTCGCGGCCAAGCTTGTGGGCAGGGTTTCTTGCTCAAGTTAGGCCCCCTTGATTTATTGCAGCATGCTCTGCTCTATGCTAGCTATACGATGCCCGCCGAGAGACCCTAAACCTTGAATCGTAGGTGTCACGGTGCACAATTGAGGCTGAAACAGAAACGAGGCCGCTTGTGGGCTTAGGGTTTCGCAGTCTGGGCTTGGGTTTTAGTCTCGGCCCTGCACATAACTTGCAAGGTTTAATGCTTGCAGATTTACGAAGCAGGGCTTTGGGCTTATAATATTAAGTTCACAGCAAAGAAGGCAACCACATCTCCAAGAGGGCACGCGGCCTCTTCCAAAGCCACCCAGCGAACTAAAGACAGTTATGAGTTATGATTCCGTAGTAGTTGATGCTACGGATCTTGTTTACTGGTCCCTCAGGGTTGCGTACGGCAATAGCAAATAGTATCGGCTTTGGGAAGCATATGTCTACTTGAGCACTTGGACTCCTAGAGTCTCTTAAGGGCTTACAGCCCGAACTTAAAGCCGTCACAGGCATAGCACTTGTTGCAGAGGATGCTTTGGCACACCAGTCTGTGTCGTGATAATTTTCACCCTGCTGGCTGCTGGCTGCATTGTGTTTAAGCTGCGCACTTCTTTATCCAATTTTCGTCATCTATGTTCAAGCCCATGACTGATTCGCCGTTCCAGTAGGCTAAGCCCAACTCCCGACACCCAGAAACCTTCTACAGCATTTCAAGGCATAGGGAATGGAGGAGACCCCCTTACCTTATGGAAAGCACCTGGGCCCCCAAAGCAGTGTTCAGGGTTTAGGATCTACCTGGACCCCACACGTAGGCAAAATCATGGCCCAACACCTTGAAAACTAGTGAGAAAGGCAGTCCTTCTACATAGTTTTACGGTATGGCCCCGAAGCTTCACATGGAAGCTAGTCTTGTAGGACTGCCTGTTGGAAAGATGCCCTCCCAAGAGTTGAACTATTACTGTAGTCTTACTCCCATCTAAGGCCCAAAGCGTCCATGTAGCTATACTTTATAGTACATCCTTGGGCTCCAATGTCCCAAAGTAGCTATACGGGAGCCCTCTTTTAAGCCCTAAGTGTATAGTATCCGAAACCCCACACTGTCCGACACCCTACATGAACCTCCTCAACGCTAATCCCTAAACCCTGATCCCTAAACCCTCAACCCTAATCCCTAAACCCTCAACCCTAATCCCTAAACCCTAACTGGGAAGCACCGTAAAGATGACCAGACTGCCTTCAGGCAATATCTTAAAGCAATTGTCCCGGACAACGGTCGAGCCATCCCAGTAAAGCTGCTCCCTGTCAGCAGTTCCCTGCAAATCCAAGTTCTTGCTTTGAGTCCTGTAGTCTGTAAATAGCACCTACTTGGGTCTTCACAAGTACCTACTTTGCACTATTTGGATCTCTTGGGGATAGTTGAGGTGTTGGCGCATCTTTCATGACGACAAAGACTTGGAGTATTTCTAGATGTCAGTAGGTTGGCCATAGTTGTTCAACCATCTCAAGTTTAAGGTAAAGCTTCTGCTTACAGTGTCAGTATTGGAATTTGGGGTTTAGGGTTCAGGCCCACAAAGGTCTGAACTCCCGAGAGTCAATCTGGAGTCGTTGCAAGAATCTACACGAGCCCGAACACAGATTGGTGCTGCTCTTGTGTTCTGTTTCAGAGAACCAAAAAGATTAGGGCTTAGGGCTTGTACAGTTCAACGGCTTTGCAGTTTTTTGAACCATTCTCCACTTTGGCCACTGCTCCTCGTGAGGTTAGGTACAAACAACAATTGAGATGATGGTATCTGGTATGTAAAGCCAACTTACTTGGGTCTTTTCCCTAGGGGACAGGTATATAGGGTCTTAGGGCTAGGAGCTACGGGTGCATTTCAGGTGGTGAGTTGCCAAAAGTCGAAGTTTCGAATGGTGAGGTGCCCAAACTCGAAGTACGGGGCCTGATGACTAAGTTCTGTGCATCGGGTCCCCTGCCCTGTGCGGAGAACATTACAAAGTCCGATATGATGCCGAGGTCTAGTCTAATGCCCTCCCCTGATATTCCATGTCCCAAGAATGGCGTACTGATATATAATATAGAATTTAGGAATATGTCATATCAGAGGGGGTGAGGGTTCTGATTTTGGGGAGGGGAATACAAGGCTGAAGATGCCAACCCCCTGAGCCGAATCGCCTATGCCTTCCAAACGGCAGTCCTGAACTCTAAAACCCGGACCCTAAGACTGTGAACTGTAAAGCTTTCAACCCGTACCCCCAAATTATTCAGTTGTGCCCGAAACCCTAAACCCCTAGAACCTTAAGGGTTGCAAGAGTCTGCTCTCAGAGATCGCTGCAATCATTGAGTCCCGGCCCTTAAAAAAGCTTACTTAATCCTCTCCCTCTAATATTAAACATCCCCACCACCCCCCTAGAATTGACTATTCTAAATTGTGGTATATGATAGTATCTTGGACATATTCAATATTAGGGGGGGTGTAATATTGGGTCGAGGGGATTAAGCAGATTCCATTCCAGACCTTTGACTAACCCCTTTCTCGGGGGGCCTGCATATTGAGGTTGCCCAATTGGGACCGTTGCAGGCAATCTGGATACCAGCGCGGTTCCAGGAGCATTGTTCGCCTGATAGTCCTCTTAAACTTTTCGATTGCCCCCTAGGGTACACCTCTGGATGTTTTGAACCGCATTGCCCAAAGCCGCTACATCCTTGTGACATTCCTGCAAATCCCTTAGCCCCTGCTTTGAGGGACGATGAAGAAAAGAAATAGATATCCTTCAACGAGCCCGGTATAGCTCTCTTCGAACTTTCTGTAAGCAATTGGTTCTCTCACCCGTGAGTAACCTTAGGGACAAATAAAGTAACTCATACACCCTAAGGGTCCAAGGACCCAAATAATAGGGTTTTAGGCCCAAATACTATAATTTTAATGGTATCGGGGCCCTAAAGGCGTATTCATTTGGGTCCCTGGACCCTCAACCCTATAAACCCTAAAACCGTCAACCCTTAGGGATCCACGAAGTAGCGCAGACACTGCTGACAGGTTTGTCCTGGTGGGCCTTCCCGAAAAAGCGGAGCTGAAGCCACAAGCGAAAAAGGCTGGTTCTGATTAGGGAGTTATAGGGATAATGGAAAAGAAAATGGAAGCTACTATAGTATATAGGGGTTATATAATTAGGGATTATACAGGGATTATGAAAAAGAAAGTGGGGACTACTATTTGGGGTTCCGTTTAAGGAGTTCTCTCACCCGAAGGGTGCATGTAGGTACATAGTACATATTTAGGGCCCGGGTAGGTTAACACATAGCAACTCTGGGGCCGAAGATTATACGGATCCATTGCGACCGTAAGCCCAGTTTGTTTAAAAGTTCAAACGCAGCTGCAGCGGTTTAGGGTTTAGGGTTTAGGGTTTAGGGTTTGAGCCATGTCATTCGAGAAGCATAGAGCATCACAAGAGGCATTTGTATTGACCAATCAGCTTCGAGCAGGCCAGGAAGAAAGTCTAGTGTTGGGTTGGCTAAGTGTGTACCATTACATGTGGATTGTTAGCTTACTCTAGAAGACTAGCGGGGTGATTCTGCTGATATTTGTTGAATGAACTTTACCTACGTGGAGGTTAACCACGGAATCGTGTGTCATAATCCCTCTTATCATTGGGGTAACCCCGTATGGCCGGCCGCGGGCATCTAGATTTGAAAGCGGACCGCCTGAAACCTGAACCCTGGATCAACCGCTGTGTCAAAGTTGACAATGTTGTGTTATACGGAGACCCCATACATCTTTTCAGCCTCAATCCTCCATGAGCCCCTCAACAAAAGTTGTGTGACATGCCCATGAGCTTCCAAGGGGCCATATACCCATCAAAAATTGGGTTTACCTAATAAACCTCCCCAATACCCATAATGCCAGCCTTTCTAGCCAGTATTTGTTGCAAAAGGCCTTCATTCTGCGTTTTTGGGAGGTCTAGGTAGGGCTTCGTAGTGTTCAGGGCTTGGGGCTTAGGTTTGAGGATTTAGCGGTGATGAGGCAAGGCTTGGAAAAGTGTAGGGACGATGTGGCAGCTGGTTCCGTGCCGTATATTGTAGCGTGGTATTCCACGAACGTCCTAGGTGCTACCGGTCATGCATGAAGTTGCTAATGCTTGTGGCTTCGGATGTAGGGTAGGAAGCATGCATTCAGTCGGATGCTACTTATTGAAAACCCTTCAGAGCACTCTTTGCACTTGCGCGTCCTCTGCCAAGAGCCGCCGAAACCACGTGGGGATTCAGCGTCAGGCAATGTAAGGCAACTACCAAGACGGATCAGCAAAGGCAAAGCCCCATGGATCCCACAGTACTCGCTGACGGCACTGTTCGCCATCATCATCGACACAACAACGCTCACACGCATACCCAACTTTCCCTGGTACCTCCAGGGCATGATCTTTGCACAAATTCCCCAGGTGACGCTAAGCAAAGGCCTCAGCTGCTAGTCCGTCCCCTAATGCTTAGAATTACAATACCCTAAATCGCATCCTCCGGAGACAAATGATTCAAATGACTGTGAAATAATTGCTGGGAAGCAAAAGTCGTCATCGACAATCCTGCGAGTGCTGCTCCTCCCGCCCAATGGGTCCATGTAGCTGTATGTCTGTATATATGCTGTTGGTTTCAAAGTAGGTGCATGGGAGCCCCTCAGATTATGTACTGAAACCCTGCATGGACCGTTTGGGCTGATAACTAGTGGTCGTCGCCGTAGTCATCGTAGTAGTGGTCTAGTAGTAGCTTTAGCAAGAGAAGTAGCACCACCTGCTGCACAAAAGCCCAAGTACTTAACATTTCCCGTAACAAGAAATGCGATTGACAAAGCCTTGGGCCAGCCAAATGCTTTAGTCTTGGACCCTCCGACTCCATTCCAAACACTGTACGGCCCGAATCCTAGACTTCTAGACCCTAGTCCTAGAATCCTATATTTCCATCAACCCTAGACCCCAATCCCTACAACCTAAGTCCTAACTCTTAAAACCTGGTCCTCTTAATCTTCGCAGGAGATTACTGCCATCTCCTGGGTTCGCAACTCCAAACTGCCTGGCTGGGAAAGCGGCTCCCAGGAGCCCACCGGATTCAGCTTGAGGATTACCCAGGGTTTAGGGCTTAGGGCTTACAGTTTTGGGCTTAGGGCTTAGGATTCAGGAGTTAGGGTTTAGTCCTTTTCCCCCCAATTAGCCCAATTAGGTAAAACATTGCCTTCTGTGTTGTTTCGAGAAATATCTTTTGGTCTGGAACTTGCGCCATTTGAGGCTTTAGGTTATGCTCTTGAGGTTGTAGAGTCAGGTTTAGAGGCTTAGGCTTGCCCATGAGCGTTTTCTTGAGTGACTCTAGCAACTCTAGCATTCTTATCTTATGGCGTATGCCTGGGGTCCTTCCCCCCTTGCAGTACCTGTCCTTCAAGGGTTTTGTTAAGCAGCCATTGGAAATCCTAGTATTTCTGGTCACAACTGTTACTGCAAGGAGGAATGAGCTAACGTATAGTCCCCCTTCAGTAGATAGAATATGGCTTTGGATATATCAAAATAAGATCCCCATATACCCCCTATTCTCCCTACTTAAGGGGGACTATATGCCTAGTGCTTCCCTTCATGTTTGGGAAGCCACCGCAAGGCCTGTGGGAGCCACCTGAATGACTGGGTTTTGTGGTGTTCCGTCAGGGCCGTAGGGTTTAGGATGTAGGGTTTAGGATGAAGGGTTAGATTAGAGTTTAGGTGGATGATTTTCAGGTTCGGAGTTTGTGGATCGGAGGCTGGATTCTGAGCCTTGGGGTGTGAGATTTGAATACAGCCCCTTTTGCATAGAAGCAGTTTCCTTTTGAGCTTCCATTTCCTTAAACCCTAAACCCTAAACAGCAGTTTCCATTGTCCTTTCCATTCCCGTTATATACACCGCATTGGGGGACCCGCATACCTCCACTCTACAGAGGGATGAATTCTGATGTACAGGGGCTTTATCAAGCTTGGATTTTTTCAGCATATCCCAAACGGTCCATGTGGGTATATTGTCTGTACTTCGGGCCCAAACGGGTTACTACAGGGTATTAAAGGGTATAGGGCTTAGGGTTGCCACGGCCGTAGGCTACAACAGCAGGAACATCAGCGAATTTGTGACGTCCCACTTGCCATCACACTAAATGTAGCAGTCAAGGTCAGGTACGATCTTCAGAATTCTGGCTTTTGGACATGATTCATTGTGCGCAGGCCGTATTCAGAGTCTCTGTGAGTTTGGCACACCGCATGTATCCGATGTGATGCTATTCAGTTCTACTTCCACCCATAAAGGCCCTCCATCAGAGCCAGTCTCAAGCAAATCCTCCAGCGAAAACATAAGCTGTTCGAACGCTTAACAGCTCCTACCATGGGTACTTACGTAAGGACTTTTTTGGGGGTGCCTAGGCAAGCTAGCGATATTCCCTGGCACAGCTCCGCGCCAGACTTCAAAGACAATGCGGTTTCTGAACATGGAGCACTTTGCACCGCAGCTGAGGCGCGGCCTCGTCCTCTAAGGGTATACATGACAACATATTGTTGTTTTCGAACATCCAATTATTTGCACCATATGTCACGTTCTGCACGTTTTTGCTGATCCCCCCAAACTCTGGACACCAGGACCCTCAGCGGTCCCTGAGAAAATCGGGCGTCATGGGAACTATGTTGTAATTTTGCGTTGAGGGTTGAAGGCTTACGGTGTGGTTATCAGAGCTAGGCTTGACTTTTTATAGCGACGTGATGTAGCATGTAATATGGGTTGTTCTCACAATTATGGGCCCCTTCTTGGTTATAGATTATACTACCGCACCTGATATTTAGGAGTACCAAAATGGGACCATATACTCTTTGGCGCAACCTTCAGTTGACTGTGCCGGTACGTACTGGAGGTGGTGTAAAGATGTGCTGTCAGGGCATTTGCAGATCTGGCGCTATGGGATTGTGCAAGTCCAACCACACGGGCTTGCAGTACTTGAGGACTTTTGAAGAGGTGACAGTTCACAGCCGCCTTGGAACATCGAAAGCATGTCCGCAATTCGAGGAGCATGTCTTCAATGTGATTGTCCCTCACAAGAGTTTCACAGGTCTACCTTGCGTTATTGCTGAGAATGGAAGAGTTTGCCTTCTAGCTTACCATGGAAGTTTTCATCCTCAATGTTGTGGCCTTGAGACTGCGCACAGGAGGGTTGTTCTAAAGGTCCTTGTATTCGGTTTATACTTGGGCGACCATTTCAGC